CTATGTGTACGTGTGTATTGCCTGCATGTAGGTAAGTGCACCCATGTCGTGCAATGCCAGCAGAGGACAGAAGAGGCTGTCAGATCCCCTGGAACTGGAGTTATGGATAATTGTTAGTGGCCATGTGCGTGCTGGGATTCGAAATCGGGTCTTCTTCAAGAACAGCCAGTGTTCTTAACTTCTGAGCCATCTCTCCAGCCCCTCTTTCTTTCTTTTTGAGACAGGGTTTCACTGTGTAGCTCTGGCTGGTCTAGAACTCACTATAAAGACTAGGGTTGCCTTGAATTTTTGGGGAATCCCCCTCTATTAGCCTTGAGAATGCTGGGACTGTGGGTGTGAACCACTAGGCCTGACTTTCAGTGAGATTCTTCTTAATGAGTATTAACTTGAGCTTTGATTTGTGGTCTGCTTACACTTTCCTAGTCTGAATCCAGAACCCTTAGATAAGTGAATTCCTAGAGTGAAACCTCCTTTGTCTTTGTTAGTTACTTTTTTGTTGCTGTGATAAACCATGACCAAGGCAACTTACAGAAGGAAGAGTTATTGAGTTTATGGCTCCAGAGGGATAAGAGTCCATCATGGTGGGAAGGCATGGCAGGAGGCAGCCAGAGCAGAAGCTGAGTGCTCATGACTTCAAGCGGGCACAGGAAGCAGAGACAGACTAGACGTGGGACACGGCTCTCTATTCTCCAAACCCACCCCATTGACATGAAGTTCCCCAAACAAAATTTCCCCAAAGTTCCATGACCCCCGCCCCCAAAAAGCACCACTAAATGGGGGTAAAATGCTCAAATGCTTGGAGCTTATGGGGGGACGTTCTCATTCAAACCATCACAGTCCAGAAGTAGTTTTGTTCTATAGGTGACATGTAAGATGATCATAGTGACATGTGTAGTTATTTTCTTTCTGTGTTTTAGCTCACAGATATGTACAATGAGTCACCGTCTCTGAGTCGTTATTTCACTTCTGCTGGCATGGTAAATTTCAGGTAAGAGCACAGAGCTTTCTATCTTGCTCTCTTTCTCTGAGGAATACCTACCTACTGACCCAACCTGTCACCATTCACCTATGGGGATTTCCCTGAGCCTCAGAGCAAGGAAGGTGCGCCTATTAACAGAATTACAGACTGTTGGTGCTGGGATGGTCCTTGGAAACCTCTCAGCTCAGTTCTGCTATTTTTCAAAGCAGAAGAAGAATCCAAAATTAGTTATGTGATTCAACTAAGGCCACATGGAGAGAGCCTAAGGGAAACCATTCCTTTTTAACAGTGAATGTGCAAATAAATAAGGGTAGAAACAGAAGTAAATCTCAGCAATGTGATGGAAGTGGCAAGATCCTGGTCCTGCTTTGTTTTGGAAGGCAAAGTGATTCAGGCGTACACTCCCCTTAATGTTAAAATATAAAGACACTGTAGGTGTCTTCTCCCTCCTTTCTCCCACACTCATCAGGCCAAGGCTGAGTGTTAGAGATCCTGGTTTTAAAAGTTGAGGGGCTAGAGAGATGACACACCATCAAGAGCGCGTCCTGCTCCTCCAGAGGACCTGAGTGTGGTTCCAACACCCATGTCGGAAGGCTCACAGCCTCCTATAACTCCAGCTCCAGGGCATCTGATGTTCCTGAGGGCACCTGCACACACACACATAAATTAAAAAGTTAATCTTTAAAAAATGTTCTTTGAAGGAAAAACCAAGGGACTTTAGTATCTTAGATAAAGAAACTTTAGAAAAATGATGTTTTTTTGAGACAGTCTCATGTAGTTCAGGCTGACTTTAAACTTTCTGTGTAACTGAGGATGAACTTGAACTTCTTGATCCTCCTGTATTCACATACTAGGATTATAGGCATGTGTTCATGATGTATTTTGTGTAGCGCTGTGGACTAAACTCAGGGCTTCATGCATGCTAGGCAAGTATTCTCCCGAGCTACATATTTAATTAGCCTATACCTAATTTATTTTTAAGGACTTGTTTACTTTAAAAAATTTATATATTTGAATGTTTTGCCCACATGTATATAAGTGCACTACATGTGTGCCCAGAATAGGGCATTGGATCCTGGACCTAGAAGTATAGATCATTGTGAGCCACCATGTAGGTGCTGGGAACCAAATTGGTTCTGTGCAAGAGTGACCAGTGCTCTTAACTGCTGAGCTATCCCTCCAGCTCCTTTTTAATTTTATTTTAAAATTGGCCACTCAGAGTTTCTAAAATGTTGACCTGAGAAACAAAAGCCATCACTTCCAATAGGATGAACTTACACATGAACTTACACAGCCCCATCTTAGCACATGTATCTGTGTCTACAGAGGGGTCCTGACCACTGTCCTGGACTAACCCAACAGGAACCTGAAAGTGCTCTTTGCCTTGTCAGTTGCTAAACTCATTACAGTGGTGGTCTGTTGAGGCAAAGTCCACAGAAAACCATCTTTCAAAATTCTGCCTTTTATAAATTCATGAGGTGAGATGAGGGGGTGGGGAACTGAAGACACAGGGTTGGGCTAAATGGGCTTTCTAGACTGCCTTCATGGCATCCTTGTAACTGTGAGTTTCTTCAGAGTCCAAACTCTGTGCTATTTATTTGCTGCACTGGCGTTTGGCGCACTCCTTTGCTAGTGGTACAGTTTACAAAGGGAATCATCAGCCACATTACAATTATTGTACTAAATGTGCTGTATTAAATGTATGATTATTGGCCTATGTGACATTTGGCCACAAGAGGGAGCCCGGTGCCCAGCCTTAAGCAGGGCAGTGGCCTGATTCATGCTGGTGTGAGTAGAGCATCTATAAAACGCGCCCTGAAGAAATACTCTCTGATCTGACCTCCTGTTAATGATTTTATTGCTCAGCTTAATCTGGGCCATCACGAACCAAAGCAATAGAATACCTGTGAGCAAATTAAATGTGGGAGTAGCATATTAAAAAGCAGCATCAACTACTAATTAAAGAATGGACCTATAATTATTTTTACTCTGAAAAAGAAGAAAAATATGTCCCTGGAAGATGAAAGGGTTAGGGCTTCCTCGGGGTGAGATGTCCTTAGATCTCATTACTAGGAGTTAAAATTCTTGGTCATCATGCCTTAGGGGGTCTCTGGAAATGGAAATGGGGAGCTCTTCCTCCAAACACAGGAGGCATGATTCACTGTTAGTGCACAGGGCATTCTCTGGGAGAGCAAAAGGTCTGGACCCACCTTATGGTAGGGAGCTATGGGCCTGACCATAATCACTTTTATATGGTTAAGAACTGGTATGTTCAAAGTACACACACACACACACACACACACACACACACACACACACAAATGTGTAAGAAATTGTGAAAGAATAAACAAATGTTAAAAAAGAACCCATTAAACTGAATAGCTTCACTGTGTTCTTATGGCGGCAGTATTACAAACACGGAGATGAGAATACTCGAGGAGGAAAGGCCAGGCTTCCTGGCTTACCGCAGAGGATGAAGGGCTGGTGTCAGAACGGATGCTGTGCCAACTATCAGTCTTTCTTGCCAGTAGTTGGCTGTCTCTCCCTTAGAGGGCCTCTCCTAATGGACCCCTGTAGTGTGAGCAGTTGGTGGTTGTGTGATAGACCTATGGAGAAGGGCTGTAGGGCAGCACATTCTCCATGGTGCACCCCCTGCAGATGATTAGAGGAAGCTGTGGGGCTAAACAAATGCCACTGCTAAAATTGATTTCTGAGTTTCAGTATGATTCTATGTTACAAGGTCTATTTATGTGTTTTAATGATTTGGCTTTCAGTGTTGAAAATGCCACGGTAACCTATGACCTGCAGTTTGGAGTTCCATCTACAGATGACGATGACGGCTTTATGAAGTACATGATGAGTGAGGAGTTGCTGCTTGGTATTTTGCTACAGAATTTCCACGATCAGAGTGTGCCTGGTTGTGAGGGTCTGGGGCTTGACCCAGAATCTCTCTTGCTTTATGGTAAGTAGAGAAAGCAAAGAAGTCAGAACCAGAGTGATAAGCAAGTGGACAGACTGGAGGCAGATGGCTTGGTCTGGCACTGTTGTTGGCTTGTATTGTGTCAAATCAGTTATCTGTTCACTGCTCCATAGTCCATGGTCATGGTTTTGAGCTTGCAGCCTATAAACAGAGCAGTGGGAAAGCTGTGGGAAAAGCAGACTGTAACAATGAAGAACTCTACTGTAGAACAGCAAGTTCTTTCTGTGCAGTGTCTGCCAGGGCCCTTCGCCAGCACCTCTAAGCTAGCCAGACACTTCATACCATTTCCCACATCAGAGTTTCTCCTGGCACATTGTAGGTGGCTTAAATCACCTTAGAGTGATTGTTGTGATCTTAGTTTACAAAGAATGGCCAAATGTTAAAATGTCCTCATTATCCAAAAGGTCACACCAATGTATTTGTCACAACTCATACCAAAAAGTAGCATCCATTAAACGTGGCCTTTTGAAAAGAGTTGTCAACATGAGCCTACAGTGCACACAGAGAGTAAACTTCCTCCATTTGGAACTGATGACCATTCCAATTTTACCTAAGACTTCATATTTCTAACTCAATGAAACCATATGAAAACATAAATATTAAAATAATTTTGGTTTTCAAAATCAGTGAAAGTTCTAGTCTTGTTTGTTTTGCTGGGATAAAATACTCTGACACAAAGCAACTTCAAGAAGTATTTATTTTAGCTCACAATTCAAAGTTATAGTCTGTTATTGCAGGGACATCGAGGTGGCGGGAACTTGAACTGCTAGTCAATCACATCCACAGTTAGGAGCCCAGAGAGATGAATGCGTGCATGCTTAGTACTGAGCTAGCTTTCTCTTCACATACAAAGTTCAGGGCCCAAATCCTTTGAAAGGTGCCATTCACTTTCAGGTGGTATCTTCCCATATCAATTAAGGCAGTCAACACAGTCCCCCATAGACACACCCACAGGCCAACCTGATCTAGACAATCCCTCTCTGAGACTCTCTTCCCAGGTGATTCTAGTTTGACAATTAAAACAGCATTGCGGTAACCTTTGATTCCTTTTTTTTTTTCCCAGAGTGAAGTGGTGGAGGTTGGTCTCTGTTAGAAAGCAGTGCTCTGCTGAATTTTGGAATGAAGAGAATTCAGAAAAGTATCTAGCAGTGACCAGAGGCTGGAGACAGTCCCTCCCTCTGATTTTGCACCATTAGGATGTCTGGCTCCACAACCAGCCAGGCCCTTAAGGAGAGCTGTCCCAGCTGGGTCCAGGAAGCTAGATGGGCCTGGGATGGTCATCACAATGTGAGATCCTGACTGTCTTTAAAGCATCAGCGGCATCCACCCACATATGGCTGCCTTTGCTTTAGTACATGGATGATACCCGCTCTTGTTTTAGATAGGATCTGGCTAGCCTGTGCTGACAGCGCAGGGAGGAGCAGGTAGCCAGGAGGAGAACTGATCAAACTGCTCACTGAAATCTCTTCTCTACATGCCATTACATTTGATCTACCTCTAAGCCTGGTTGTGGGGAAAAGGAAAGCACTTTCCAAGACGTGAGCAGTGTAGCCTCCACCTGCTTTCACTGCCTTACCTGTGTGTATTGAGAGCTGAGCCTCAGCACATCGAGTGTCACATACAAGAGATGATTCTTATTTTGCTTCATTGTTCCTGAGACTGCCTGAGAATCTTTTCTTTTGAAAACTTAGATTTGTGAATTTTGAACATGCTGCCATTATATTAGATTGTTACACACGCATTTTTTAAAATTAAAGTTGTCTGAGAATAGTTAAGACTCTTTCTGCTAGTGAGACCACACGTTGGCTTTACATTGCCTCATGTCTCCAGGTTTTCTGTGGGTCACAGAGTCTTTAGATGTTGTTTCTGTGTCTTCCTGTAAATGGTTGTGAAGCAGAGAGCCCCTGTCCTCTTGAAACAAACTGTTGAATGTGGTATGCCTGTCATTTAGGGGGTGGGAGGAATTCTGGTGACTGCATCAGTCATCCATGGGATGTGGAATTGCCTGTCATGAGGAAATAGAATATTTGTTTTGTTGGGGAAATTACCTTCCTGGAAGTTGTCTAGGACAAAGAGTTTCAGGGTCTTATAGAGAGAGATTCCCCAGCCTCATCTCTCAGCTAGATTAGCTGTGACTGCAAGTCATGTGTGGGCAGTTGTAGAGAGTCTGCATCAAGAGAGGCTTATGACTCTGGGCTCTGAATAATGTGAATTTACTTTCTTATTTAACTCTCGGAGACATATATTGTAATTCACTGTCTCACTTTAAGGATAGTTCCTTAAATTGGTGAAACCAATGGATTTCTGTTCTTCCTCATTATGTTTTGTATGTCAAATGTGGACCTTAGCATGCTTGTATTTTTTTAATATAATGAAGAATTTTAATACACAGATTTAAAAACATTTACAATAAATTATTTTTGCATCTGCCTTGTTGTTTGCACATCTGTGGCTTAGGTCTTCCTCTCCAGGGCCACGTGTTGGGCTGGCGGTTCCTTGAAGAAAATGGGAGAAGGGATCATGTCCGTGAACACAGCTTCCTCTTTTACAGGATAAGATGGAGCTCGGTTGGGCTGTGTTGGATTGGCTGGGCCATCATCTCTGTTTCAAGGAGAGTAGGAGAGTCCATCCATTCCCTCTTCCTCTGAAGGTCTTATCTGGCAGGATCTTATCATTTCAATGGTTCCCACAGGCTCATGTGTTGATCCCCAGTTAGTAGTACTGTATTGGGAGGCTGTATGACCTTCAGGCGATGGGCCTCACTGGCAGAAGGCCACTAGAAGCAGGCTTTTGAAGGTGATAGCCCAGGCTTCTGGGTCTAAGCCTTATTCTCTGCTTTTCAGTCCGCCATGTGTGAAATCCTCTGCCACACGTTCTTG